GCTTTGGCCACGACACTGCACATTAGCGCCTTTGACAATGGGCCAAGCATGTCCGTTGAACCAGGTGTCATGCTCCTAAATTGAAACGTGCAAGTACCAAACACTAAAATCAATTATTCCACGTTTTGCGCGCCATATTTCCTCACTGCCGTTTTAGTCAGCCGATTAAACGGAATTCTGCAATGCAGCGCATGCGCCTGAGCATTGCGTGGTTTGCGCGGTCCGTTTTCTGTGCTCGTGCAACGTCTGTTGCGGTAAGCCGCGCCTGAGCTGTGGTACGCGCCAGCTGTAATGACGCCGTAGCCGGCGACCCTGGGCTCCGGCCCGCGCGTGTTTGCGCAACGTCAGACGCAATGTCGCGTTTGCTTTCAGCCGATAACGCGATTGCTTTTTGTGACTTGTCCATTGTCTTTTTTGGGTAAACTGTGCCCCAACTCTGGCGCTCGTCAGCGTTACAGCCTACCGCCATGCAAACGAGGACACTGGGCTTCCAGCGGCGAATGTTTGTGTAACGCCGGCTCCCGCGCGCGCCACTCGTCACGTTCGCTGCGTGTCGCGCGCCCTCAAGCGCCTCCATTCGCAAAAAAGAGAGGGGCTTGCTTAGTTCTGGCGTCCGGGCCTGCTATTCTGTATAAGCAGTGTGTTTGAAAGTGTGGACAGTGAAACAAGTGATCCGGTAAGCTGAGCGGATCTTAATGTCAGTTCTAGTTAGCTAGAAATTCCGTAGTTTTAGTGAGGGGCGTATATCCATAGTATGCACGGACCCTCTCCTCCACCGTCTCCCGTTACGAACTTTATGGCATGCATTATTATGTGCGTGGCCATGTGTTTACAGTTGACAATTCCGGGTAGATGCGTAAAATAACGATCGGGAACATGCGACGCTGTTCCAAACAAAAATTGCTCCTCAAGCACCCAAAAGTTGCTCACGTCTGTAGCGTGTTAAGCTGTGCTTTCACGAAAAACTCGGGTCGTGCCCCACGCTGTAAAATCCTGCATACGCCTCTGGTTTTAGCGTTCCGGTTAGGCCCAGCACGGCCAGGCCCGCTTTTTTGGATTGATGTCCCACGAAATTGTAACCACGAATCGTGCCACCATCAAGTTCTCAGGGTCAAACAGCACAATAATTTCAGATTTGTACTGCAATAATCGTAGGATAATTACATGCAAGCACTTTGATCAGGCATCGTTTTCCTTGTAACATTGCGAGTTTGACGCAGTTCCTCTTCTGCCATGTAAGCAACATGACTTTTCAAGTAAAAAACTCAAGCACATGATTCGAAAGCAGGTCCAGACCTAGACAACAGCGTATCACACCGACATGAGATTGACATGTTCTGCCGGAGTGGAAAACAGACATAACATCAGCAAAAGTCTGCATAAATTTGCACCTCGCAAACTATCATGCTGTTTGCAAACTAAGGATGTGATCATTTAGGGACGTATGTCAAACAGGTGGGTAAATGGTCGGGTGTAGGGTGTGTGCTGTTGGAATCGAGCGGGAGCATAATTTATCGCTATTTGGACAGCAGATGGGTACGAACATGGAAGTCCTACTAGCAGTGGGTTCTAATCATCGTAGTGTAGAGGTGGCAGAAGGGATGAAATGTTTTAAGACAGCTCATCGGTGAGATGGGCTCCACATTTTTCTTGTGGAGTCCTGCTTGTGTGTGTCGTCCTGGAGCAGCAGCTGATGCACTGAAAGTGACTGAAACACGGTGTCTTACGAATATGACGTCGATATGTTATCGGCTATCATGAATGGACGTCTGCGATGAAATGCCAGGTGGAGAGGTGAAAGAAAGCAGTGGTGAGACACCTCACGCGATCACACTACATCTCGGTCAGTATACTGTGCCACGTCATGACCTCTGGGTTTCGCGCGCCCACTGAACTGCTTAGGTACCCGCCAAGTTTTAAGAAAGTCCGTGGAGGGACGTCCGGGTCATTCTCTCTCTC